CCTACCCTAAGTATGACTATTCGTAAGTAAGAGATAAAAATAAATAAAACTCGTGTATCTTGATTATTTTATACTTGATCAACATTCAATTAATATTTAATAATTAATGTGATAAATGAGCCTGCAAATCACTGAACATTTTCTCAAATTGAAGCTTTTATAATATTTCGCGAGGCTCTGTAAAGAGGCTGGGGCTCCCCGGGGTCCGCGGCGCACAGTTTGGGAATCACTGCTATTGAGCATCATCCAAGAATTAAATTGTATTTGTAAAAAGTCGATCGTTTGAATTTATGAAACTACAACTAGTGACATAGGGAGTCAATTTACTCGTGCCTCTGATTCGTTTTTCCGCACGTAATAAATCGAACAGTAAGAGATAGTGAGCGGGAAAAAAACGTCGACGACCTTATATAACCTTCAAATTCGAGTCAATTCCTGTGTGTTTGGCCTAAAGAAGAATCCAAGTATTGTGGGATATCAGTTAGTAAATTTTTGTTGTGATGATAAAAGCCCTATATTTACAATTCATAACCACTTCCAATGATAAGGCTCCTTTTAATACGTCCCAATGCCATAATGACAAATATTTATAAAACATTGCTCAGAATAGGTAAAGTATGAATCAGCTTTCATACTTTTAGCTCAAATAACGGAAAAGGTTTCATTTTGTCGTATTGAATATTGGTGAATGATGATGACATCAAGGATGGAAAGCTCTGCAGGTAGCGTAGCAAATCCGCTTAGTGTCAAATAAGGAAATCTCTTAAAAAATATGGTAGTTCCGGTAAAAGTCAAAGTAAAGGTGATATTATTGGAAGTTGGACAGGAATCATCGTTAATTATTAAAAGAGAAATAGTTCAGGGGTGCACGGGAGGCTGAATCAATACATCAATTATTAGAGACAGAATATATGAGGGTAGATATGAAGACCAAGATGATGTGACCTGCTTGGTCGCAATCTATGATATAATATATGAGGTCTATATTTATTCATTAATATGAAGATCAGGCAGAAATCAACTTTTGCATGAAAAAGAGGACACGATTCTGATTTCGCAAAGGAATTATAAAGTTTAAATTACAATAAACTACAGGATGTATTCGCACTCTTATTACTAGATTGTCTCCAAATTCATCGCTTTAAAAACACAAACATATACAGGAAACAGTAATGACGATAAATGAAAGCAAACAAGTTTGCGAAATGCCATATCAGCACTCGCTTTACTGTTGAAAAGGACAACAAGACTAAGCAGAATAGTTTTCTAGATTTAAAACTAAGTAAATTGGCCTGTCATTACGATGAAGCTGGCATAACTCAGAACACTTAGCACGGATTCAATGGGATTTGGGACATTTATGGTGCACAAGTATTAGACTAAGGATAATCGTCTTTCATTTAATCAGCAACCATTGTCTAAGGAACTAAGATGAACAGGATCCGGGCGATAATTGTTAATATCTTAAGGAGGTAAGGCAAATATGTTATTCCAATGAACATAGGGAAAAAAGTCATTGAATTAAGAGAGAACTATTAGCTCCTAATCAAATCGTCTAGCGCAATATCATCTTATCAACTTTGCTAATTGTATTGGTACTTATAAATAAATGTGGTCATTAAATATGGTGTAAGCAAAAGATCTTTCAACCAGAAACGAGGTATTATCCAAAATAGTATATTGACAGACTTTATTGAGGATGCCGAAGCCGAGGCGATCAATTGCGTTCCTTTTCCATTCTGGTAGCGGTGGGCAGAAACGAGGAGCATTGTCCTTGTTCAATATCCAGGCCTCATCATTTTCACATTGCATGGATGAAGTTGATTCATTGGTGGATCGCATCAAGTTGATATTCGCATCGTCTCGGATGGTAGAATTTATGCTACCGGTGGTGACGAAAGTGGCATTAGTGGAATTGGTGGAGTCCTTATTGAAGGCAGCGGATCCCGAGGCGCTAACAGGTGTAGCCACAGAGGCCTTCAGGACACCAAGAGGTAGAGTGCAAATGAGTGCATCTCCACGGTAGGCAATCAGTTCATCTTCGCTGAATACAGCATTAAGGGCTTTAACGACAACGCCTATTTAAAGAACAGAGTAAAAGCATGAAAATAGCAGGTATTAGAGGCGCAAAGATGGGTTACAACAGTAACCTAGATCAGAGCAAATATTAATAAATATAAAAAGATGAGCGCAGGATGGAGTGAGCGCTTTAGAAGAGAATATAGGTAATCAGAAAATAGCTGTTTAGAAATGAATTATGGACATAAAAAATAGTAATCAAAGGTATGAAGGCTAAGATGGTATGGCCTTATGTATGGTCACGGTATCCTTTCTTTCTATAGAAGCTGTTTGACCTTGTTTTCTCAACTTCCTCATATTGGCAGGAAGACATAGAGGAACGAACCTTGTCCGGAGTCCATAGTATGCATGATAATTTACAGAGTCACCACCGTTTCCCTTGTGAAGTGAAGTCGATCCTTTTGCCAATTGTTGTGGTATCTCTCCTGTCCAGCTGCATTCACCCATCCTATATCCTCCTAACACCATTTCACTATCACAAATTCTTACTTGTTTATTTAATATATGAAGAAAAGTTGGGTTTCGAGGAATCTCTTGTTTCATAGTTGTTGGGATTACTTCAATTTCGAGTAGAAGTGTTGGGTGAAGAGATTCGAAGGTCGGTTCCACCAGAAG